AGAGAGAAACAGGCCAATTGAATGGGGCCTGTAGACATGGTAAGGACTTCAGCTTTCACTGGGAATAAGAGGAAAAGCGCCAGAGAGTTTGGGCAGAGGAAAGATGTTATACAACCATTCTTACTGGGTGCTTGCTCTGTGAGATTCTATTTTATTTTTTTAATATTTATTTATTTGACTGTGGCAGGTCTTAGATGCGACATATAGGGGTCTCCAATCTTCATTTTTCTGCATGCAAGCTCTTAGTTGTGGCATGTGGGATCTAGTACCCTGACCAGAGAGCCAACCCACGCCCCCTGCATTGGGAGCATGGAGTCTTAGCCACTGGACCACGAGGGAAGTCTGTATTAGATTTTGTTTTAAATGCTTTATTTGTAATCCTTACAATTATCTTATGAAGTAGGACCCACTATCTTCTCATTTTACAGCTGAGGAAACAGGGCCAGAGAGGTTAACTAACTTGCATAAGATCACACAGCTAGCAGGGATGTGGTGAAAATTTAGACCCTGGTCAACTCTTAACCACCTTATTTTCTCCCCAAATGCTTAAGAGATTAAAACTGAAGTTTTGTTTTGTCTTTTTTCCATTTCTTTATATCTATATTTCCAGAGCACACTAACAATGAAATCATACTCATTCATAGAGAACTTCTTTGCTCAAACTGATAAATATTCCCAATATTCTCCTTTATGATTCCAAGTTTTGTTTTGTTTTTTTAAAAAAAAGCCTTCAAATTAGCATACTAACAAGCATCTTGACATGTCTTGCTTTAATTATGCAGACAGCGACTCCTTTTTTTGCTTCTAATGTAGAGGTTGATTGGGAAAATTTTTATTTTATTGCTTACAATCTTACCCTAGTGCTACCTAAATCACTGCTTTATGATTTGGCATCTATAATTTATCATTCTCCTCTGCTATTAAATGAAATGCCCTTTAAAGCATTCCATAGCAAGGTGAACACAAGTCAAGCTTGCAAAGTTCTGGAAAAAAGAATTGCAAAGAATCATTAAAGAATAATGAAAGTTGATTTAAATGGCATACAATATCAGGGCTGCCCAGTTTAACAAATATAATTATTGCAAGTCATTTTCAGAAGACCTCTACATTTCAGCATCTAATTTTCATCATCTTTTAAGGAATAACAACAGAAATGCCTTGCTGTTATAAAGACTCTAAAAGCTGACTTTTTATTTCATTTCTCTGGATTTCACTAAAGCTAAGCATGAAACAATAGACAGTTTAAAATATAGGAAACCCAGGTTCCTTTTACTATTGTGTGGCTTTAACATTCTACTGCTGTAGCCAAGAGTCCTTGGCTTCTGGGGCCAACTGTCTTTTGCATGCTGATTTTGCAGAGAGAGTCTCTCAGGAGTTATTACTTTTGAGTAGTATCTACAATGACTTCAGTCTCTGCAGGAAGTGGAAGGCAGCAGAGTTTGGGAATGAAAACACTGAGGGAGAAATCTCTCCCGATAGAATCGTCAACTCAATCTAATTTTAGGTTTCAGGCAGACCACATAGCTGTACCTTCAGCTACCTGCAAACATATGCGTCTCAAGTGCCCTCACTGAAGGACTGCAACCAGGACTTAAACAAAAATAATGAAGTTTTCTATCATAATATGTTTTAGTAAATAGGTGATGTGTGAGAGTGTGGGTGTGGGTTCACACAGACATGCAGGTAAACCATGTGTGTGTACGCCACATTCAAATAGTGACAGCATTCTGAATAAGGGGAGATGGTCCAGAAGGGTTTCTTTCTATTTTTCATCAACTCTTATTTTTTTCTTTCCAGTGCTTCACAACCAAAAGGACTAGTAGTCCCAGGCTCAAGACCTCAGAAACTGTATTATTGAATTATGTGAAGCAGGAATTTGAGACATTTTTAGAAATCATTTTTATGTGGTAGCTATTTTAATATTGAAACAACTAAATCAAAGCCAAGAAAGGTCTTTTGAGAGGAAATGGTTAAAAGGGCATGTCTTTCCTTTTCTAAAAGGAAAACCACAGCAAGGAATTCCAATTAGGAATAAATTAAAGAGCACCACACTTTTCTGGAAGGGTCAGGAAGTCAAACTCTTGGCCTTGAGCGGCTTCTCACCCCCACCCCAGCGGACCCTGGGAACCAGTCACGCCCCGTCTCTGTGTGAGCTCAACACTGGCTGCCAAGTCTTGCCATTCCTCTGCAGAAAAGAGCCAGGATTTTCACCAGAGGCCTCCTGCCAGCATCAGAATCAGAAGGAGGTAGCCGAGGTGCCAGGGGGCTTTCTGGAGTGCCCCAATGCCAGCTTTCTGTCTACAAAGGACAATTCACTAAACTTGCTAAAGCCAAATCTGACATTTTAAAAATGTCTCCGAAATAAGCCTCGTATGCTGTTTTGCTGCTAGAAGACCAGGCTCTCATTTCCCAGATTATATTTTCTTAAATAGAATTTCCTTAAATTCGGCAGCACTTTTAATCCATGACACTCACTGGTAGGCAAGAAAAACAATTCTGCTGTCTTCACAATTGATTTAAAGCTTAGAGATGTGACATCTCCATACATTATGTTGTGGTTAATTGCCTTATACTAATATCTGAGTAATATGTGTGTGTGTGTGTGTGTGTGTGTGTGTGTGTGTATGAATATTGGTGTCATGCTCAGTCATGTCCGACTCTTTGAGACCCTATTAGACTGTAGCCCACCAAACTTTTCTGTCCATGGGATTTTTCAGTCATGAATACTGGAGTGGGTTGCTATTTCCTCCTCCAGATATATATATAAATGTTCTTTAGGTAACCTGTGTAATTGACATATGGCTACTTGGGAAATTGGGGCTAAAAGTGAGGTACCCCAAAGAGCTGAGTTTGATCAAGATGCTATGCACTCTTGACCTCTTTAATATGCTATTTTGCTCTTTTGACAGCATTCCAAATCTGTTTGTCCTTCCAGGTCTATCTCGGCTCCTGCTTTCAGCTCAGATCCTTGCCTGGCCATTTTAATTCTCATTAAATGAGACCTCCCCTCTGGCACCACTTAAAGCCCTATTACCTTTGCTGCTGCTGTGGCGTTTGGATATGTCATAGTACACCATCATTTACTCACCAGCGTCCAAGGGCCATGGGCTCTCTCTTCAGCCCCCTGCACAATGCTTAGCCTGGTGCTCAGCACAAGGGGATGCTCCGTGGTACAAGTGAAGTGAACTGACTTATAGCCTTTTTCATCATTTCCCCAATGTTCGTATCTAGGACTAAAATTTGCATGATTGCTCTTTATTTCTCCATTCATTGTCTTAGTAACCAGAAACATCTAGAATGAGCTGCAAGTTAGACCACTCCTAGAATAGATTGGTCACCTGTGTCTTTTTGGCTTGGATGTCACTGTTCCGAACAATACGTGGAAATGGGAGACAAGTTACATCCCTTATGATTGCAGTCAATGAAAATAAAGAGAAAAATAAAATAAAATAATGGAGCAGAGAAAGAAAATATAGGAAAGAATGAGAGGAAAAGAGACGGGGAAGAGGCAAAAAAAAAAAAACAACCAACCAACCCACAATCCTACTGGATGATGTAAATACATTTCCTCTTTTAACGACAAAACATAAAGGCTCCTTGCAAGTGCATTTCATGGGTGATTACTTGAACATCTTAATCATGTTTGCTCTTTTGGGAAATTGTATGCAGAAACCACTGCCTTTCCAGTTTGAATTAAGAATAAACTGGAAAGGCAGTTCCTCTGGGAGAAAGGAAAAGCAAAGCCCAGGAACACTGGTGCACTGTATGAGGCAGCAAGAGATGATGACTCGGAATCAGGCAGAGTTCTCTCTTCTGTGATCAGCTTGCTCTGCCCTCAATGAGTCCAAGAGATTTCACATTTTATAGGTTGAGCTTCCCACTGGCAGCAACTGAAGCAGTTCATTATGCACATCTGTCACGTGATCCACTTCATCAACCAAATGGAACTGGGAGAATAAGTCACCCTAACAAGATCCTTCAGTACACTCTTAAAAACTACTTACAGATGTACTCTTCCTCTGAGGGGATACAATGGGTTTCCTTGTACAGTGCCACACGATAACAGGAAATGCATTATCCCCATCCAAATTCAGGCGTACCAGGAGGAAGCCTGAAAAGAAAGCAGCTCACAAAAGCACACACAGCTTTTGCAAAAGTCCTGAGAGGAGCTCATACACCAATTTATGATAACGGCAGATAAAACCTCAAGCCTGTGAAGCTCAGTTCATTGCAAATGCTAATGTCCACACAGGGAAAAGAAACCACATCAGCACTCCGCATCGACACAAATGCTGCTAATGCTTTTTATTTATGGTTGTCGCCGGTCCCCTCAGCAGTATGCCAGATCTCTATTTGTGTGGTAACTTTGACTACTTTATGTGCCTCCACGACTCACTGTGTTATGTGCCCACAGGCAATTTGTGCTTTCAAACTGTGTCTGGTGAGGCAAGCAGCCACACTGCTAATCTTGAATCAGGAACCATCTTGTTCCCATTCAGATCACGTCAAACAAACACTTTTGTGGACACATCCAGGAATAGTTAACACCTGCCATTGTGAAATCTTCCTGTTTCAGTTGGGGTGATCAATTCATCACTCATTCAGTCAGGCAGCAGATATTTATTGAATACCTACCACATGCCAGGCACTGTTTCGGGCCCTGGAGATATAATAATGAACAGAGCCCTACCATCAAAAAGATTACATTCTAGAGGGGGATAGGAAGAGACAGCAAATAAATATGGAATATGTCAGAGGGTGTCAGTCAGGATAGGCTAGTTGTCTTGTGGTTTTAAACAAGCCAAGTTTGATGGCTTAAAAAAAAAAGTTTATATCCCTCACTTACAGTGTATTCATCACTGACTCAATGGACATGAGTTTGAATAAACTCTAGGAGATAGTGAAGGACAGGAAGCCTGGCGTGCTACAGTCCATGAGGTCACAAAGAGTCAGACCCAACTTAGTAACTGAAGAAGAACAACATGGTGTGTTCATTGCAGGGCAGCTGGGGGTTCAGCTCCTTGCACCTTCACTCTGGGACCCAGGCTGCCTGGAGAAGCCCCATATGGAGCACAGCCAATCTCTGTGGGAGAGAGAGGAGACAGAGCAGTGAACGCCTGCACTGGCTTCCTCCTGAAAGCCACACAAGGCCCTTCCCCTCACACGGCACAGGAGAGAGCAGCTTACGTGGATGCACCCGACTTCAACAGGTGAGGAAGAGCAACTACATGATGTGTTTAGGAAACATCTAAGGAAAGACCGAGAGAGAGAGAGAGAGAGTGAGAGAGAGTGGGGGTGGCTTCCTGCAGAAGATATAGCAAGGGCACAGGGTGCCTGGCGTGTTGGAGGAGCAGCAAGGAAGTCTGGATGTTGGAGTGGAGTGAGCAAGGGGCAAGCTGGAGAAAAGTAGGTCAGAAAAGTAAGAACAAGTTGTGGACACAAGCCAGCACCTTGCTGTAAGGGCTGTGGCTATTGTAGGGTGCTGTAAGGATGTGATCTGACTGAGGTTTTGAAAGGATCCTGTGGCCGCTATGAGGGTTGAACCAGGGAGGAGTTGAGAGGCTCTTGCAATAAACCAAATAAGGCTAGAGAGGGGCCAGTGCTCGGGTTCTGGATGTAGTTTGAAGGTAGAACCAACAGAATTTGCCAGTGTATTGCTGGAAGAGAAAGAGAGGATTTGAGGTTGACAAGAAAGGTTTGTTTCTTCTGGTAATCCGTGGATACACATAAGGACTATTCACATGACTTTTGAGAATCTTTGAATTTGGCAAAATCATGTAACATACAACATCTCGCTGCAATTGAGTTGAGAGTTGAACAGCCCACTGCAGCTATGGATGCCGGGCAGACGGCTTGATTCATAGGCCAGCCGAGGGACTTCTCTCTCTCACTGGCCCAGTGTCCAGTCTCTCTTAAGGTTTTGGTCCACATTACTTTGTAAAATCAGAGCTGTAAGCTTCCTAATTACAAGCAAAACAGGGGCTCATGACTGAGTCACCCCAACCTCATCCCAGCCCTCCATTCCTCTGTGAACCTCAGATATCACTACCAAGAAACTAATCCATACAACACAAGATCTATCCTCAATAGACGCTGGTACAGTGATGTGTCACCAATTCTCCTAAAAACAGGTTGAAGAGGAATCTTAATAAATACAATAAACAACACATGGTTTCTGAATAGCGTTTCCCCACTTTCTGCTCACCCTGTCTTCCCGTCATGTGGCGCTCCTCACCACCACCCGTTAAATGGCCACTAGAGCCCCCTGCTACAATCTCTTAGGTCTTCTCCAGCTTAGAAGAGCACAAGTTGAATGCCAAGTTTGCCAACTATAATGGAATGAATAAGTAAAAGTGTTTTTTAAAACAGCAATTTATAATAAAAAATATTTGTATTTGTGATCAAAAGTATTCATTCATTAAAAAAAAAAATCTTGAACTCCTACTATATGCCACCTCCTCTTCTAAGCACTGGAGGCACAGCTGTGAATAGAACATGTAAGTAATTTATAGTTGAAAACAAGGAAAGCATAGAAGAGTATTAAGGAAAGATAAACTTGCCACTAACTCACTGCTGAAACATCTTAGTATGTAACACTGCTAGTAACATCTTGGTGCCTAGTCTTTTTCTAAGCATACATATTATTCCTTCTTGGTTTTTGAATAAAATTTACAACTTTAGACTTAAGCAGTCCATTTCTTTCTTCAAAATTTTTTCTTCTTATAAAAATAAGCATCATAGCAGATGCTCAGTAAGTATTTGTTGAATGAATGAAAGAATTAATTATAGAGACTTAGTAGAATACAGAAAAGCAAAAAATCAAAAATGAATGTCACCAATACTACTACTACTAAGAGATAATACCACTATTAGTAGTTTGGGTTTTCAGTATGGTTTCAAATAACCAACGTATTTTTATGACATCGCTTCACAATAAATGAATATTTTGTAAATGACAGCTTTCTCTTTTTTACTAATTACAAAAGCAACCATGCCATTGTAGATATTTTGTAAAATACTGAAAACCACAAAAGGAAAAACTAGTAGTCCCACTGCCCAGAGAATGCTGTTAGTATTCTCCAATCTTTTTGGAAATTTTTTTCCAATCTTGTTTTTTTTGAGCAGTACAGTAGATTTTTTAAGAGCCTGGTCAAGTTACTTAGCCTCTCTGAGCCTCAGATTCCTCATCTGTAAAATGATACTAGTAATATCCACTCTGTAAGGTTGGTGTGAAATTTTTTTTTTTGGTGTGAAATTTAAATGAGATAAAATGTACATACTGCTTAGTTCAACGTCTTACACATACAAAGTACTCAATATGGAACCTCTTACCATTTTGCAAGATATTCCTACAGAGCTGGTCAGACTTCATACATGCATTTTTTTTATCCTTTTTTTTTTTAATGAAATAACATTCCTCAATCTCATTAAATTTTAAATTTTGAGACAATCTCACATTTTCAGAAAAGTTGCAAGTACAAAGACCTTTTCTCCCCTAAAGACATTTGCAAGGAAGCCGTTGATCTGATTCCTCCATCACTCTTGAATATCGTAGTGCATGTTGACTCAGAGGCATTCCCCTACAATTCCAGTGCAAACAGTAAAATTAGGAAATTAGCATTGGTACATCGGGATCTAGTCCTAAAACTCCAATGGTCAAGTTTCTCCGTGGCTCAATGACACACTTTGTAACAAAAGGATTCCAGTTCTGCACCACACCATGCCACTATTCCCCACCTCTCCCTAGTCTCCTTCAGTCTGGACTAGTTCATTCCTCCATCTTTCCTTGACTTTAATATCTTTGACACTTTGAAAAAATATAGGCCAGTTGTTTCATGGAATGTCCCTCAACTTGTATGTGATGTTTTCTCACAATTATGTCTTTATCAGCAACACCACACAGAAGTGATGCTATGTTCTCTGCTTATTGTATCTTACTAGGTAACATACCTGCTTTGTACAACAACCTGTGCTGGACCACTGGACCACCTTCCTACAGATCCTCATCTCACCCAACCTGGGCTCTGAAATATCCTCTTCAGCCTGCCTGGATGCCAACATCTTGCACTAGGCTATCCCTTTGCAGAACACGCCCCTCGCCCCACGTGAGCTCTGAAACCTCCTGCTGAGCTATCCCTCCCACCCTAAATCCTCAGCCCACCTGGGCCATCCCGTGCGGGGCCACCCTCTCAGCCTGCTGTGGCTCTGACGTGGAGCTAAGCCGAGCCTCTGTAGGAGTGGTCCGCTCCTCCTGCCGGCTTTTCTGGTGCTCTCATTGTATAAAGGTTTATATTATCTGTGAGTAATCACAGTGTTTCAAAAATAATAATAATAATAATAATCACAGTGTTTCCTCAAACTAGAGGTCTGTGTATGTATTATTGATGATCCATCAATAATAACTTATTTTTATTTCAATGATGATCTAAAAAACTTACATTATAAAATATAAGCATATCTGGGATGTTCATTTTACAACCACATTTAGTGCTGGTGCTTTGTGTTTAAAATTGTGTTGGTACCACATGATTATTAATGTGGCAATATTTAACTTTAAAGTGTTGGTAGTCTTTAAATTGGCATTTCTGGCATCAAAAGGCAAAAACCATCTTGATTTCTGTTTGATAAAAATTATATTGAGTTATCCTACCAATTAAAAAGCTGAAACTGCTCTTTTTCAGTGATGAGATTTGTGTCTTTTTTTATTTAATAAATTAATTTTTACTTTCCATCATAAAAATAACCATGCTACTTTAATTGTCACAGGCTAATGAGAAAAGAACCAGGCTGACTGACTTCATACACAAATGATACGTTATGCAAAGTGAAGGCCAAATGAATCATGGCACCACTACAAAGGAAGCTTTACAGAAGTTCAAATAAAGGAAAGTGGAGAGAATTGAGTCATTACAGGTCTTTTGGTATCATAGGTTGAACTCAAAAGAAGCTAGGCAAAATAGCCACTCTATTCAGATTATTGGCAGATGTGTTTGTGTGTGTTGTGTTTATTTATACGACGTACAAGCTTGCAAATATTCTCTGTGAAGAACATCTTTTAGGAGCATTAAAAAATAATTATCAATATTATATTTTGGAGAAAACCATTTTTAGATGGATTGAACCAAGTAAAATAATCAACTGATGGTTTCAAATGAGTAACCTGATAGAAGGAAAAATTATAGTAATGATATAGTAATGATAAGGAATCAAAGGACCTTCCATTCTGCTCAAAATAAAATATTTAAGTCAACAACTGAGACACAAAATGCATAAAAAAATCTTATTATACTTTTATAATTGTATATATATAAACTATAGTTAAATCCAACATTGACAACTTAGTTTCAGCAAAATTTTACTTTTATACTAAATTAATGTTTTTTTATTTTAATTTATCTGATGATCTTGTTTATATCTAACTTGTTAAAAAATTTTCCTTTTGGCAGCACCATACTGCTTCTGGGATCTTAGTGGGGGGGGGGGGTGGGGGATGGGGCGGGCGGTGAACCCATGCCCCCTGCAGTGCAAGTGCAGAGTCCTAATCCCTGGACTGCCAGGGAATTCCCTCTAACTTGTTAAATTTGATTTGTTTCTGGTAGTTTGTTTTAATTGTGGTTGAAAAGACCCCACATAATACAAACTTTACCATCTTAACCATTTTCAAGTGTACAGCTTGGTAGTGTTGAATGTCCTCACACATTGTGTATTACAAATGTCTAGAGCTTTTTCACTCTGTGTTCTTAAAGAGATATATGTAAAAAGCATTTATATCTATATATTGGCACATATTTAAGGAATAGTAAGTTCCTTAAAAGAGAATTATTTAAATCAGCATGGTGGAGTTCTCAAGAGAACTTTTTCCTCTTGGAAATAAAAGGAGGAGGTCTAAGAAATGCTAATTAACGGACAGGGAGCCCTGGCATGCTGCAGTCCATGGGGTCACAAAGAGTCCGACACCGACACCGACAGGACTGAGATGAGTGACTGAGCTGAATCAACATGGTAACTATCTTTCAATCTAAATGTTTGCTGCACCCCACCCCCACTTTCCTCCCTGGCTAGATAGTTCACAGCAGGCTCTGAAGAGAGGGTGGTGATACCTCATTTCTTGGAAAAGCAGAGCCAGAGAAAAGCATAGCAGTTTTCCCAATCCAAATTCAAAACTTCCTTTTTTAAGTAATAGGTATAATGTGAACACAAAACTGCCTTTCAAATTACTTTTTAAAATAGTTTCAAATCCATTATCTTACTTTTGAGGCCCCATTATGAATCTCTAAAGTTAGTTTCCTTTCATGTCAAACCTCATTGCCAAGTTTGACATTATACCTCTCATCATCCAAGCCAGTGCTGCTGGCGCCCTGCTCCTTAGCAAGATGCTGGAGGGAAGAAGTCTGTCTCCAGATGCCATGGTTCTGAGTCTGCTGTCACTTCTTGCAGGTCTTATTAAAACAAACTGTGCTGGTGAGCTTCTCTGAAAACCTAGATGGAAGGATCTTGCCTGGCGGTCTAGTGGTCATTGGAGATTGCGGGGAGGCTGACTTTCATCCCTGCTCAAGGAACTACATCCCATATATGTGTGTATGTGTGTGTGTCTGCGCGCGTGTTAGTTGCTCACTTGTGTCCGACTCTCTGAGACCCCATGGACTGTAACCCACCAGGCTCCTCTGTCTATGGAATTCTCCAGGCAAGAATACTGGAGTGGGTAGCCTTTCCCTTCTCCAGGGGATCTTCCTGACCCAGGGGTTGACCCAGGTTTCCTGTATTGCAGGAAGATTCTTTACTGTCTGAGCCACCAAGAAAGCCCAGATCCCACATGCTGCAGCTAAAGATCCCATGTACCACAGCTAAGAACCGACCTAGTCAAATAAATAAATACTAAAAAAAAAAAAAAGCTAAATGGAAGTTTTCAACTTAGAAGCTCATAAACTGACTTCTCCTGAGGCTTCATTTTTAAACTGAAAGTTTGTTGTTAGGATTTGCCATTTGACTTTTTAGAAATAAGAAAAGATTCAAAGTTCCCATAAATAATCATTCATTATGAGGTAGAAAGCAAGGAGGAAAGGGCAAGAAGTGAAGGATTATTATTTACTACATGCCAGGCACTGTTCTACAATATTTGTATCATCCATCTTCCCTTATCCTGATAACCTCCCTAGGAGTTGTTCTGTTGTCCCCATTACAATGGCTGAGACTCTGAGAGGTAAAATAACTTGTGTCTAAGAATACACAACTTGTAATTGAACCGAGATTGAAACTCAGGTGTGTCTGATTACCACTCACTCAAGTACAAAACATGTCAAGACACCTCACAGACCAAGCTGGTCAGTGTTTTCTGCCACAGATGTTGTTTGAGCATGTTAGACAATGCCTGTACTCATTCATGGAGAGAGTCTCTCTGTCCATTCCAGCACGTTATCATTCTCTGCTCTCTGGCTCAGTTACTTGTATATTTAGCGGATAGGATCAACTTCAAACATTCTCTACACCCTACCCAACAGAGTGCATGAATCCCTTTGCTCTCTCTGAGGTGATCCCAGCACCAGCTAGGTCTCTCCCCCCAGCCCCCAGATGTAAAGAGCACTTCCTCACCTTGCCACTACCTACAGTGTTGCCTGGCCTTCCTTGAGGCATGTGTCTAGGCTGCTCTTTACAGAGGACTGATATATGCCCTGTGGGCTGCACTGTCATTTATTGGCTTAATATGCACACCCTGTGATGCATTTTTATACTTTCCCATTTCTTACATTCTGTCTCCTAACTCTGATCTCATTTACATGATGATTTATAGGGACTCTGAATATTATTATCTAAAAGGTGTATGTGTTTAGGAGGAGTGAGCACATCTCCTATTTATTAGGAAAAATCTCCAGTCTCACACTTCTATCTGACCTTGAAACTGCATAAATGAGAGCTCGGTCCCCAGTCATATGAAGACCAGGGAAAAGGGACCAGCTGGCCCACCTTGCTCAGCTTCTACTGTACGCTGCCTTGGGTTTTCTCTTCTCACGGGATGGCCTAACTCCTCAGTTAGATTTTAAATAGCTGGAGGGCAACAACATGTCTCACCAATCTTGTGCCAAGCAGAGCCCCCTGCACATAGTAGGCATTTAATAAGTAATTGGAGGTTGGTTGCCAATCTGTGACTGCTGCTTTAACCTCCCCATCCCCCCACTGCACCCCTGACCCTTCTGGTTTAGCTTTTGCAGGACAGTTTCATTAGACATGGTAACATGATGAATCAGAACTCTCATGCTCACACTGGGTTATCAGAAGCTTCCGCTTCGTGTGTCTTTTCAAAGAATAAGTGTATGCTTGTATCCAAAGACCTAGTTTAGAATCTTGAATTTCAAAAGTTTGAATGTGGGAAGGCCCTGCCCATCCACTTTGGAATGCCCCTCCACCCTTAAGGCTACCTTACAGGTGTTTTATTTAGTGCCTGGCCTTGGTGATGCCACTTTGCCTGAGAGGGTTTGTGCATGAAGTGCATGAAACCGTTTCCACACTGACACTATAGCTTAAATCCATTTTTCAGGCCAGTTTATCTTACTGGGCTTAAAGATCAGGCGATGCATGGAGGGGCGGCCTGGGCGTTGTCTGGGGGGGGATAGGTCTCTACAGGGGGGCAGGAGCTGATGTGGGCCATCTTATTGGAGGAAAGAAAGAAGCAGGTGGTGCAGGGTAGTGCTGTGGAGCAGTATCTGCTGCCTGAGAGTTTTGGACACAGCTGGTGGCACAATTCTCCTTGGGTTGGATGTTTTGCCCAAACCTAGTGTAAAACTGGACTTCCTTGGTGGCTCAGATGGTAAAGAATCTGCCTGCAATGCAGAAGACCCAGGTTCAATCCCTGGGTTGGGAAGATCTCTTGGAGAAGGGAATGACAACCCACTCCAGTATCCTTGCCAGGAGAATTCCATGGACAGAGGAGCCTGGCAGGCTACAGTCCATGGGGTCACAAAGAGTCAGACATGACTGAGCAACTAACTTCACTTTTAGTATAGAATTGTCCCTGTCCTAGGAGCCTGTTGTGAATGAGCATCTTGTTTTGAAACTCAATTTGAAGCCAGAGTGGAAGTTTTCCTTTAGTCACAAAGTGAGAGCAATGAAAATAGGACCATCTGCTGTGTTGGTTTTGGCCTTGGAACAATACAGTGGCAACTTTTCTTTCTGATTTAGGAGGGTTTTACAAAATCTCCATATTTTGTGTACATTTTGGACATGAGAATCTGTCACCTCAGACCCTATCTCAGGTGGATTTTAAAGCTCAGAGAAACAGCAGCTCTCTGCAAAGTTCTGAGTAACTGAACTTTGTTATAGCAACAGACTAGGAGTTAGAATCAGTTAATCCCTGAACTCAAGAAACACTTGGCCCATATCCCAGATAATGCAAGATGCTGAAAACTGGTCAGGTCCCAGACTCACCTAACACATTTCTCCTCTCCCTGGAAGATTGCAGCATTTGATCACCGCCAGCATGAGAGCCCCACCTCCCCATCACACCGTTGAACGCGTGAGCAGGCATATTTCTGGGCCAGGCATCACCTGGAAGGTGGCAAAGGCCAGACAGGTACCTGTAGCCCAGCTGCTGCTCAGCGATGAGGCTGGCGGCCAAGCCGAGTGCCAGCTTTTCAAAAACAGCCCTTTTGATAACGCTGATTACATTTCCCTCACCAGAGCCTTGGGCTGATTGAGCAACAGCCAGCTTCTCCCGGTAACAAAGAGGAGGGGAAAGTAATCCAAACACAGGTTTTATTATAAAAACCTGGGAGTGAGAGAAGTCTGTTTATTCTGTAAGATAACACACCTGCTCAGGGCCCCGGAGGCTCATTTCCATCAGTTGCCATGGCAAACTCGTTATACTTCAAGGCCATGTGGCTTTGTTTCCTTTTGAGATCTGGTCCTTGTCCTACCTCTCCTAACAACTCCAGCACAATGACATGAGGCCTGCTACAGCATAATTGATTTCTCCTTCCCTCTATCAACGGTTCACATTTGCTGGGCACAGGACTGATCTAGCCTCCTCCTTTGAACTCCTAGCTCACCATGAAGGCATGCTTCAGAGAGCCGTCCTCATTAACATTCCAGGTCCCCCTTCCCTGTCAGCGATAAACAAGCCCCGCATCAATGGCCTCCTTCCTTCCAGCTTTACAAACGAGTGGCTCAGTTCCCTGTCTCGCTGCCGATCCAGGTGCCCAGGCGTACAACGCGGGGCTGAGAAGCACGCAGGAGGGACTAAAAATAGAACAGCAGTTTTGGCCGCATACCAGAGCAGCTACTTCATCTCAACTTGCTTTGCACACTAAGCCTAATGGGATCCATCAGGCATGAGTTCTCTCGCCCTCCCTCCCTCTCTCCCCCGCTGCCATCTACCATCAGCACCTTCCTGGTGAAGGGAGCCAAGGGAGGTCAGGCAAAGGACAAGAAGCCTGTGCCCTCCTGGTCTTAGTTCACAGGCCCTGGGAAACACAGGGGCTGCAAGTACTCCTTCCATACAAGTGTTTCTGGAAAAGAGCAGGCAGGTCCAGCCCATGGTCACCTTCGCCCCGGTACATGCTGATCCAAGACTTCCATTGTTTAGCAAAGGCTCAAATATCACTTCCTAAACACCTCTGTAAGTGTGACTGAGCCCCAGACTCAGACACTCCTTGGGAAATTCAACAGAGAACTGAACTACACTGAGCAGTCCCCTTGCAGGCCCCACCTGCTTGGCTTGAGGCTAAAGATTTGGGAGCAAAAGCCCGGCACAGATGGAAGGGCACACGTGGATGGGTTGGCAGCACGTGACTGCCCAAGGTCTTTGAAAGCCTCCCACCAGCATCTCATGATTCTATCTGAAAGCCTTTTGCAATAGAAAATAAAACAAATCAGTATGACGTTAGGAACATGCTGTCCTGCCTGGGCACCAGGCCTTCCCAAACGCCAGCTGTATTGAATGAGCCGGTCTCCTTCATGTTGTTGATGCTCATCTCTTCCCAAAGCCTCCCCCCTACCCACAGGAGAGGTAGCCAGACCCATCCATTTCTCATTGCTTCATCTGAAAGCTAGTCCAGGTGTTCCAAACAGTTATCTATCACTCCAACCAGGGTCACTCTTATAGAATCAGAAGAGGGGAGAGGGGAAAAAAAAAAAGGAGGGAGGGCAAGATGACTATCACAGTGTTAAAAAATAAAAACCTTTGCTTTGTTTTTGTTTTGGAAATTGACAGATACATCAAAAAGAAACCAATCTCCTAGCAGGTTTTTTTTATGTAGGCTTCTGGAAGGTGTCAAGGTCTTTTCAACCATGCCTCAGTTTCCTGGACTAGCAGAGTAAAATAAATATGCCAAACGACTTTAAGAAAAGTCACACTCCATGTAATCACAACCATAATTAATCCCCCAAAGAATTTCCCACAGAACAAGTTGCAATGAGATCATTTAATCCTTCAGCCTCCAAGGCGCAGCTTCCCTTAGGCCTCCTGTGTTCATGAGGCTCAGTTTACCTCCAGGAGATACTGGGTCATTTGCTGAATAAATCTACCTTCAAACCCTAGAAAAGTTCTAGGTTCATAGAATAAATGTCTGCAGATGGGCAGTCAGGGTTTCTGGCTTCTAGCCCGAGGATGAGGCTTTGGCAGAGCTGCGGTTTCTCTGTACCCCATTTTTCTCATGCATAAAACAAAACTGCAGAGGTGTGTGAGTTTTAGGTCCTTTCCAGACCAAAGACTCCAGGGCAGAAATAAATGATACCAGAATTAAGTTTATATTGGTGATTTCATTCATCCTTTTTGGTTTGGGTGGTTGTTGACTGGTTAGTGGGCCTGGACAGAACTATTTATCTTGAAAAATACTGCATGATTCTTCAAGAGAAGTGGCATTTGTTCTTTGTGGGACATTTTCCCACAGTCTCACCTTCCTTCTCTTTCATTTGCCACTAGGAGGTGGGTCTGACTGATTCTTCTTGGTTAATTAGGAACAAACAGAAAGATCCTGTGTTTTGAGAAACTTTCTGGATTATTTCCCAGTGATCACAGGGCTTTGCAATTCATTTGGCAAACATGATGGTGACAATGGGGCATTTGGCAAAGTGGATGAGGTGGTTGATGAAGTGACTGAGGTTAAGAAGAATGCTATTGGCAAAACATCATGAACCAAGCTCTGGAATGTTCAAAATGGAGAGTTTGCCTCTCTTGCTGACATGACTCTGAGAAAAACCCAGTCTTTAAATAGGTGATTTATTTAATAGGAAGCAAAGAAAAAGGGTATCAACAATTTTTTTGAGCACTGAGCTGAGAAAGACTTTGACTGTGGTCTAATACTTTGACTATAGCCATGAACTGAGATATCTTTGTTTTTTTTTTTTTTAGATATCTTTGAATAATACAGAAGTTAAATAGATGCTTTGGAACTAGTCACTGCAATTAAAAATTACATTTAAAATACTTTAAAATTTGTTGTTTTTTTGGCCACCGTGCAGCTTGTGGGATCTTAGTTCCCCAACCAGGGATTGGACCTGGGTTCACGGCAATGAAAGAGCCGAGTCCTAACCACTGGATCACCAGGGAACTCCCTAAACATTACATTTTAAATATTCAGGTTAGGTCTGAACAAAGCCTTGAGGCTAAGAGGGTTTTTTTATTGAGTCAGACCTACCCCACTTCCACCCCACAAATATCTGCAGATTAATGCAAGAGGACCAGGGTAGTGTCTAAATAAACCAAGTGTTAATCTCTGTGTCGGTGCTCTAAAATAGTTGCCGTAATTCCTCTGATGTTCGTGGTCATCAGATTTCATAGAAACTCCAGGGGTCAAATCCATCACTTGGCTAGGTGTTGTGTGTGTGTGTGTGTGTGTGTGTGTGTGTGTGTGTGTGTGTCATTACCAGTGCTACCAGCTGTAACACTTTAATGACTATTCGTGGAACACGAGGGACCTTCCCTCATTATTCACCTAGGGGGAGGAAGAGTGGCTGAGGGCTCAGGACAGGTCTCCAAAGAGAGGGAAAGGTAATAACATCACATTATTAAACCTCCGCAAACTAGAAACATTTCAGAGTAATCCTTGCTGATGCCTTTTTTTTTTTTTACAACTGTGTATAGAATCCTTGATGATGCTGTCACCTCCAAAAAAAAGATAATAAAAGGAGAGAAAGAAGATTTAATATTTGTGTGTGGGGTGTTTTCCAGGCAATTTGAGTTAACTAAACAAGCACATAAGCTTTATCAGGTCTCAAATGCTATGATGCTTAAAGGTACTCATCACAGAGTCTTAGGAATGAGGACTTCCAGTATATGAGCTTTTCTTTTCCTAGTTTTAAAAGCAAAGACATTCACTGTACATAGTAGATATCTAGGTTATAATGTAAAGAAAACTAGTATTCTTTGCAATTCATCAGCAAAATTCCTTATTTCTAATTGATAAGTATTTTTCTTGCCTATGGTGACATATGGGCTTCACTAATATCTCAGTTGTAAAGAATCTGCCTACAATGCAAGAGACCCTGGCTTTATTCCTGGGTCGGGAAGATCTGCTGGAGAAGGGATAGGCTGCCCACTCCAGTGTTCTTGGGCTTCCCCTGTGGCTCAGCTGGTAAAGAATCCGCCTGTAATACGGGAGATTTGGGTTCGATTCCTGGGTTGAGAAGATTCCCTGGAGAAAGGAAAGGCTACCCACTCCAGTATTCTGGACTAGAGAATACCATGGACTGTATATAGTCCATGGAGTTGAAAAGAGTCAGACACAACTGAGCGACTTTCACTTTCATGATGACATATAAGGGTTGGACTATGTTGTAATACAATTTAGCTTTGTTTAAGAGGTTAGGAGTGCAAGGAGATCAAACTTGTCAATCCTAAAGGAAATCAACCCTGAATATTCATTGGAAGGACTGATGCTGAAGCTGAAACTCCAATACTTTGGCCACTGATGCGAAGAGCTGACTCATTGGCAAAGACACTGATGCTGGGAAAGATTGAAGGCAAGAAGAGAAGGGGGTGACAGAGGATGAGATGGTTGGATGGCATCATTGACTCAACAGACATTAGTTTGAGCAAACTCCAGAAGATGGTTAGGGACAGGGAAGCCTGGTACACTGCAGTCCATGGGTTGCAAAGAGTTGGACACGATTAAGAGGTTAGACAGAGAAGAGGAAGCAGTGGCTCTCAGCCCTGCCAGAAGTCTTCATATTGGCTTATTTTCTTGGACCATAATTAACTTCACCTTGTTCTATGTAGTAGAATATATATACTATATATATTCATACATATACATATATGTGTGTATATATGTATATTTCATATATGGGTGTTTTTGTGTATGCTTTCCGTGGAGACCAGATGAGCAAGATATTATTCATGTGAAGGTACTGTTGAAAATATTTTAAAAAGAAGAAGAAAATATCCCTGTTGAGAAAATGTAATTTCAGTCCCCTAGGAGATTATTATGAAAATGAAAACTCAAGTCACTCCTCAAGAGTATTTATAACTTAGGTTCTAGGCCTTAAACCTTTTAGGATCATTAGGAATATTTTTGTCCACATAATTATAGAAGTGAATCTCTGTTTTTTTTCAGAAAAGCCAAAGGACTTGCTTAAGGTCACACGGCTAGTTAGTGTCAGGGGAGATCCCTGGTGGCCTAGTGGTTAGGATTTGGCACTTTCACTGTGAGGGCACAGGTTTGATCCCTGGACAGGGAACCATCCCTCAGGCCATGTGGCATGAAACATAGCTAGTTAGTGGCAGACCCAAGACTATAGCTCAGGTCTCCCAAACCACAATTCTAGCCTGCACTGTACATCCCCCGTCTCATCATACAATCCACAGACATTATGATATATGTAGCCCAGGCACTAAGAGCTATGACTTTACTTAGGATCATGGTAGTATGTGCTACAGAGTGGTATTTTTATAAAGTTCTACTGAAAGAATAAAACTTTCAAGATGAAGTTAAAAGGGGATGCTTAACTATCTGGCCTTAATCTTTTAATACAAAGCAGTCTCTTACATCAGTCTAATGTTATACTGAAGTAGATTTATCGATGTCCCCGAAAGCAAAGGCCCATAAAAATTAATATGTATCTATCTCCTTTGAGATAAGTGAAACACAGTTTTACAAAAGAGTAAACCTTTTATTATTTGTACATGAATCAGTTTGGTCTGAGGACACACAGCATCTGGCAAACTCAGAAATGTTGCCCTAAGCAGAGAGTGTTTGTGGTCGCTGGTGTTTACAGTAACGTCACTTGTATTATCTACGTGCTAGGCGCTGAGGGCCATTCTGGATACTCAGAGTGTTGGGGGAACGTGCAGGGCAGTGGGTTTAAGAAGCAGGGAATGCAGAACAGTCATGGCCTCCATTTCAAAGACAAGGTCCTTCAAGGTCTCAGGAGGAAGCGGCCCCTGCAGAACGGGTTTCCTGGGGTTGGAAGGCCCCTCGAGGAGGGATGGAAAACAACTGCCCTGAATGCTGCCAGCCGGCCTCAGCCACAAGAGCTGTAATCTGGGGGTGGGGGTGCACGGTCACAAGGGGACCACCTGAAGGGTGGGCAGAGGCCCTCGGGGAGGAGCCACGTACTCCTCCTCTCTGAGCAGCCGCAGAAGGATGTTCTTTTTATTCTTGGGCCAGCTGTAGATGTGAGTGTTCTGAAGCCAGGTGGGCACGTGCTCCTAGGGCAGGGAGAGAATGACAGAAGCAAAAGCCATTAGACAAACACCTGGATTCCAGATCCTGGGCTCAGTTCCCCAACATCCGTGGTTTTCCCTTCGCAGGCATCGCCTGCTAAACTCTCCTGGGGGCTGTGCTGCTTTGCTTTCGGAAGGGGTTTGCATGTGAAATGCTCTTGGCTCAGGATGCCAGCTGTGTAGCTCATTACAAAAAGCACATGTGCACGGCATGTCCCATCAGTCTCCCAGGCTACCTGCCCTTCGCCTTTCAGCATGCTTTTCACCACCCTCCCCTAAAAGGGGTGGGACAGAGGTCACACAGAGCCACGTAAATTCCCCAGTGGCTCCGGTAGAAGTGTGCCAAGGCTGTGGGCGTTCATACAACTCATTATCCTTTCACTCCGGCCCCAGGTCTGACCCGCAGAAGAAGAAAGGAGGTTCCCCCACCCCAGATCCCAGCGATCCGGCAAAAGCCGAACCTGTCAGCCAGGGATCGAGAGGGCACAGTTTCAGATTGCCCGCAGGGAGTGGACAGTCTGTTGGGGGCAGACAGATGATGCATAGGTTTAGTGTGTTCAATGGCAATGCGGGCCATGGAGAAAAATCAGAGAAAAGGGGTAGGGAGTGCTGGGCAGGGATGAAACATCTGTGGTTTTAAGTCGGGTGTTAGGGGAAGATCTCCACAAAGCTTCCCCACTCTACTTTTTTACATCTTGTTTTCTCAGTGAGACCCTCCCTCATATGTGTTCAGTCGCTCAATCATGTACAGTTCTTTGAGACCCATGGACTGTGGCCCACCAGGCTCCCCTGGGGTCCAAGAGTCGCAAAGAGTTGGACGCAACTGAGAGATTGAACACACACAGGGAAAGGTCTCACTGAGAAAATAAGTAAAGATGTAAAAAAGTAGAGTGAGGAAGCTTTGTGGAGCCAACTTTGACCCCCGGTCGGAGAACTAAGATCTCACATGCTGTGGGGCAAATACTGAGCCCAAACTAAGACCCAGTGCAGCCAAAGAAACAAATATTTTTTTTAAAAAAGACACAGTTACTGCCTTGAGGAGTTGGTAGTCTTATGATGGAGTCAAAATGTAACTCTTCTCCAGGCAGTAGCATTCCAAGGGGACAGGTAGGCGGGAGCAGTCTGCCCTGAGTGTGGGTAATAAGGGGATTGTTTGAAGAAGTTTAAAAAACATTAACAAAACCAACTAAAAGTGAGTCTGCTTTTTTCTGTCACCATGCTCCAGTAATTCTAAACAATTACTCCCAACTCCCCTACCCGCAGCCACGTACTGTTGTTGACTCCAGGTACTCAAGAAGGGGGACTATTCAATATTTGGGGCATGGGGGGGAGTGGTCAGGAAAGGCTAAGAGATTGGGTGCTAGAGGGCTAAATGAGCGCTCACCAGACAGAGAAGTCAGGGCAGGGTGCTGCAAGCAGCGAGGACACAAGTGCAAAGACACCAAGAGTGGGGCATGTGGCAGGACACCTGAAATGGTCCACAGTGACCAGCGCACAGTGGCATTTGCGTGCACAGTGGCAAGGCAGAAAGCTGAGCAGGCAGGCAGAGCCCGGTTCTCAAGGGCCTCGTATGTCATACAAGGAAGACGAATGCGGTCTGTAGTCAGTAGGAAACCCACCACAAAACGTCTAAACTGGGGACAGATAGATGAGATCTACATTTCAGATGTTCCTCTTGGATGGCAGAGCAGAGGATGGCTGGTACAGAATCAAAGTGGACACAGCACAACCAGGAAGGAGATCGTGCAACGAGAGCTGTCAGAGGCTGGGTGAGGGACAGAAAGCACACTGCTGGGCAGGCTGTGAGCTGGGCAAGCCCAGGGGTCCTGGTCCCATAAACTAGACCCTCCTTCATCCAGGGCAGAAGTCTCAATGCAGTCCTGACATCCAGGGCTGCTCCAGGGTGGGGCTGGGCCTGAGCTCAGGGTGCTGGGATCCGGCTCCCAAGACCTTCACTACACAGCTGCCATCTCTTCTCCAAGCCTGGCACAGGCTCTCAGATGTTTTTTTGTCCCTGTTCTCCAAATCTGCCAGCCTGCCCTTCTAGCGAACACAATCCCTCCTATGAGCCACAGCAGAGTTCTCTTTGGTAACTGTGTAGGTTTAATTCCTGTATTCTACAGCTTTGAGCACTGAGCTATGTTCAACAAAACATTTCCGTGCAACGGCCAGCCAAAAATGCTCACATCTTGACTTTTATGTACAAGAGATAAGACGTATCAGATGAACAGCTTCTTTTCATCTCATGGGCTAAAAACACAAACTACTTCTTTGTGTGTGATGGCTGTTTGAACAATTAGGACAGCGATGGTCTATCAGATAAAGCTTTAAAATCTTCCTGATTCAGGCTTCTGCGCTGAGTGGTACAACTTGTTGATCTTTCTGGCAACACTGCTATCTCGAAGGACTGATAAACAGCTGACAAGGTTTTCCACTTAAAATCCTAGAGATTTTAAACCAAAGCTGCACTTAAAGATTCGTTTGTTTGTTTATTTACCTTCTTAGCATTTGGGAAGAGTACAGGGATGAATCTGAAGTTCATGCTTCCTTGTTTTATGAACTCAATCTGCATCTGGAACAGAACACACTTGAAGGTTTAATTTCAGGACTGAGGATGAGAAATTAATGGTTCTCACAATCATGCAAGTCCACACAGGATTTTTGTTCTGATTTCTGTCAGAGCCACACACTCCTAATTTTAAACTGTCCATCACACATCCACGCCTTCTGCTCATTCATCAGTCATGTACTGAAAGCCTGTTAAGAGTCAAGCTCTGTGTTAGACTTGGGGTTTCAAGGACTAGGATACTTCCCAGGGTATGCTGAGCTGCCGCACAGCAGTTCACAGAAGCCACTCGTGTGTATCTCTTCCCAAGTCTGTGTTCAGTGACTTCACAGTGCTTGTTTGAAGTCGGCCCTGTGAGCATATTTGTACCATGGAAATAGACAAATGCTACAAATCAGGATCCCCCCCCCCTCTTTTTTTCTGAGGACCAGTTTACCAGGTACCACAGCTATAAAGCCAGCAGCTTACTGAGCAGGCAGAAAGGAAAGCTACCGACCACAGTGCAGTGTGAAAAGTATGGACAAATTGCTGTGGTAGCCCAATGGGGGCCATCCTTTTCCACATCAGTGGTTTGAAGGAGTTACAAGGGGGGTGTCATTTGGATACTAAAAGAAAAGAAGAATTTGCTCAGGTAGGGAAAATGGAGCGAGGTGGGGGAAGGACAGCCTCAGTAAAGGAAACAGTATATGAGCAAATGTCTGGAGGTGTGAAGGAATGTTTGGGGGCTGGGACTGCTTAGAAATGCAGGGGGGGCAGGGAGGGTGAGGGAAGCGAAGCTAGAGGTCAACAAGATGAGCTCCATCTGCCAAGCTTTAGGTTCCCCACACCACCTCCAATTTACTCTGACACAGCAGCGGCCCCCCAAAAAGATTTAGCTGCCAAAAACTCGACCAAAACCAGAAATTTCAGCATGAGAGGGGTTAGAGTCTTCCGAATCCTGTGACCAGCACAAAGCTTTCAGCCATCTGATGACGAAGGAGATGAGGAATTATGTGTTCCCAACTATCTCATCGTCCATCTGAATTTTATAACTGAGAAATCTTCACCAAGCATGGGAATAAAAACAAAACAGAGAGGAAAGTGGCAGTGGTAATGACTGAAATCACCATAGTAACTGCCTCATAAACACACACACACACACAAATCTTCCATGAGGTGTCTTCTCAGAATCACCTCCTGTTAAAAATCAGAAGATTAAAAAAAAAAAAAAATCAGAAGATAGCACCAAAAGCCTATTTTACAAGGGCGCTAGAGCAGTGTACCTAAAATCATCGACCACACGAGTACAAACAGGCGAGAGGAAGGGTATAGCGCTTGTAAGATAAACGTGAAGAACTGGACTCAGTCTCTGGTTCCCAGGACACTGCATCCTGTAAAATTTTGCTTGTCTACTAGGCTACCCCAGCGACAGTGCTTTCTCATTCTCTCTCATGTTTCCAGAGATGGACCTTCTGGGAAGCTGTTGGCTCTAGGATGCAGTTATTCCTGGGTTTCTGTTTGATCCCTCTGCCCTGGAGTTTTCTGCTGCTTGGAAGGGACCAGGAAGTCAGCCAGCTGGGCAGAAAGGCACTTTTCTATCTGGCCTCTCCGACTTCTCCATTGATGAGGAAGGGCCTGAGACACTGTCGTCCCAAGAAACGGAGTTTGGAGACAGCCTGGTTCACGGCCGGGCGCTGTCAGACAAGCTCCGAGGTTCAGCTCCCTATTACTGCCAGGTGACACCACACCCCAGCAGGGCTTGACAGGTTTCCTGGGGAACTGGCAGCGACCTGAGGCCCTCAACACACAGAGCTGATGGCCTGGGGACTGGCAGTTCCTAGAGATGGAGTGCTTTGGGGCCCTGACGTGCTTTGGTAGACAGTGAACGGGAACAGCACCTAGAGCCAGCTGTGACCTTTTAGGGCAGAAACAGTGCCCCTTGCTGGGCTCCACCTGGGGCTGCCAGGCTGAGTAAGGATGAAATAAGAGGGATACTCATCTTATTCCTTGGCCCCACTCTCTGACCTCCTCACCTTGCCTCAGCTTTTACTTTGGGTTGATTGTGAGCTCAAGTAAGGGGCCAGCACTTGGTAGAAGAGGAACCAGAGACTCTGAAGAACCAGATGGGGACATCCACACATCCAGCCTGCCTTTTTCCTGTGCTCCTCCGGAGCTGCAGGATTTCAGTCCACTTCCCTTGAGCTGTAAAGCTGCATGTCCTTGCCCCCCGACCCCCTGCTGCCCTGTGCTGCTTACTTATTCCATCTGAGCCACTTCTGCTTCCTGCCCCATCTTCCTGTCTTAATCAGGGACCTTTTATGCTCATTCCAGGGGCCTTCCCCGCCTTGTGGAATGTTCAAGCTGAAACGGAGCTTACAAGTTCTAGTCCAGTGAATTTCAAACCTTTTTAAGTCTCAGGATCCTTGGTAAACAAGCCCGAGAAAGGCAGACAGCTCTGGGGGAGGTGCCCAGCAGGTATGGGCACCAGGGTGGCTTCAAGGGAGAGTGTGACCGTCACAAGCCTAGTCTGGCATCCCAGTCAAGCAGGCACCGTCTCCTCAGGGCTTGGTATGATCACAGAAAGCAGGGAGGCTGCTTGCCCGTAACCCAGTCTGTTTCAAAGCTGGATGATATTTTCAGCCAGAATGTTCTGTCAGATGCTAAGTCTAACTTACTGTAAGTTTCCTCTGCTGGTTTTAGTTTGACCAGGCCCCCAGAGTTCAGGTGTTGCCTATCTGTCATGAACTAGAACCATCCCTTCCCTTGACTGAACATCTGATCTAGGCCTTATGCTCTATAGACTTTATTTCACCTAATCTTCACAACAACACTGTTAGTGACCCATTTTTTGAATACTGACATGGAAGCACAAAGAGGTTAATGGTAAACGATCTTCCTGCAGTGCAGGAGACCTGGGTTTGATCCCTGGGTCAGAACGATCCCCTGGAGAAGAAAATGGCAACCCACTCCAGTATTTGTCTGGAGAATTCCATGGACAGAGGAGCCTGGCAGGCTACAGTCCATTGGGTTTCAAAGAGTTAGGCACGACGGAGCAACTCACACTTTCACTTTCCATGGTCACACACCCTATAAGGGAGGAAGCCAGATTTGAACACGGGCTATCTGACACTACACTGCGTGTCCTCTCGGATGTGCTACTCTGGCTCTCTGAAAAGGGAAAGGACAGAACTGGACACAGATGCAGGGAGCCTGCTCTCTTCATAGCCCTCTCTCCTGCCCTCCCAGGACTTCACATCTGTGGGTAAATAATTAAACCAGCAGAGTTCTGCTTTCCCGAATCTTGAAACTTCAAGATCACAGATGAATCTCCCTGTTACTGAGAAGGAACACGGAGTCCCAGAGGTGTGGGGACTTGCCCCAAGTCCCCAAGGTAGATGGAACAGAACCAACACCCGCCTCTCCTGCCTCATTCTTCAACCATCAGCCCCCACCCTCAGTGGGTATCCAGTGAAGGACAGGCTTTCACAGAAGCAGAAGCCCGACTCCGAGGGCTGGCAAGGTGCTGTGGTTTCATCACTCACCATTCGATGAATGTACTTAGTATGTAAGCCATGTTCATCCTCGTCCAGCTGCGACTCAGCGCCTTCCACATCCTGTTTGTATTTGGGGCTGATTGCTACGATTATCATCACTGTCTTCTGTTAATGAGAGGGAGAAAGCATGTTTATGGAAGTGTGGCGTGTGGTCCATTTGGGGAAGGCAGGCTGGAAACCGGCCAGCAAGACTGTGAGCATCTTCTGATACACTGCAGGGTGGAGGGCCGGCCCCCATCCACGGAAAGTGAAAGGCGAGGCCCCAACACAGGCAGACTCCCGGCTCCCCACCCCCTTCCCCCCGCCCCCGCCCTGTCTCCCTGCCCAGCTCCCTTCAAACACAAGAGCCAATGGCTCTCCTAAATGGACGCGGTTCTGCCCACCATCTTCTATAACCATCACTAATAAAGGTCTAATGAAAACCGGAATGACTAAGTAACTCTGCATTGTGGCAGAGAGCCTCTGCCTCCCTCCGGCAGCAGCGGGAGCTAAGCTGTCAGTTACTGCACCCTTGACTGCCCTGCTTGCCGCGGACGCTTAGCCCAGTCGGGAGGAGCAGACCCTTCAGCACAAAGCGAACATCAGGCTGCAGACAAAAGGAAAAGCCTCAAAACCCCAGCCAGCTCAGCCTCCGTCCCCCACCGGCTGACGCGGACAGGCTGGCGGCAATCAATTTCTATCTTGTTAAAGCACAACGTGTCCCAGTGGCCGGTATAGATTCTGTCAGTGAAAAACAAATCACAAGGCTGCGAGGGGGCGTCTGGGGTGGGGGGGGTGGGCGATGTGCTGCCCTGCCTGTGAGGCTGCCCAGGAAACCTCTTCAGTCTGATCCTGCAAAACACTTGGTGGTGGCCTCAGATTAAATTGAATTCTGCTGCTCCCTCCCTACTCCCCGCCTTCATTTCCTCCTTTCCTATTCTGGTCAAAAAATTGTTTGCTCTGATTATTATCAACCACCTGTGTCGGGTTCGACCGTTATTTCCTGCCTGTGCATGTCCAGGAGGGTGACCCCATCCTTCCTTTCCAAGTCTTTGCACGGCTGCCAACAAGGGAAGCTTTGTTGGGACTTGGTCAGCTTTGGCCTTGGTGGGTATGCCAGTGCTTCTTTCATAAAATAACTCCACGAGCTAATTGTCTTTCTCACCAGCAAACAAGCTCAGAGTTTTGGAATGTACTTACATCCCTAAGGTAGCGTTCCATCCACTTAATGATATCAATGCCTCGGATTCTATCTTCAAATATGTCAATCTACAAGAAAAAAAGATGTGGAAAGTGGCTTTTAATGAGAAGCTCTGTCTAGATGCAAAGCAAGAGAAAGCACAAGAGGCTGTATACATTTAAGGCTGAAAAAGTCACTGATGCTTTTTGGCAAAGAAGAGCCTGAAAGTCTAAAACTCAAGATGTAATTTTCTTAAAATGTTTCCTACTTCAAGATTAGTAGGCATTTGAGTATTTAATATTTGTAATTATGTTTTAAAAATTTGAGAGACATAGTAGACCACCAAGTTGGATGTAAGCCAGCAACATATGCATAATATATATATACACAAAACATATGCATATATATATGTATATATATATATCTGTAATTTGAAGGCAAACTTGATTCTGGAGGATTTTAATGGATGTGTTGTATGCAAGTACTGAGATACAATATGGTACTTTGCTTGCATTAGCCAGGTCATTATTATGGTATCATATCCAGTTTCGGCCTATATATTTAAAAAGGATTGTGTGAAACTTGAAGCAAATCCAAGAAACAGTCACAAAAACAATTACTGAGATAGTGGGGGAAAGGTGTATGACGAAAGTTGAAAAGTAGAACTCTTGGGCCTTGAAAAGACTGGTATTAAATATCAAGTCTTTGAAGGGGAGAAAAACGAGTTATTTTCCATTTTACAGAAGCCCAAACAAGACCTTCCTTGGGTTCAGGCTTGTCCTGCAGCCAGAGAGGAGTGTGTGTCTGCAGAAGGTGCTCTTGATTGGCAGATGGATTATGTCCAGGGATGGGTGATGCAGGGGGAGAGTCCTTGAAGAGGGGTGATTGGTTTCAGCCACACGGCTCCCATGTCAATTGTCCTCAATGTCATGTTGCTGTTTAGGGCCAGTCAAGTTCCAGCCATTCGGCAAGCTTTCCATGCCGTCCACGATCCAGCGTCACCTCTCTTCCCCACACATGTCCTGTCTACTCGACTCTCCACATTTGCACTCCCTGCACTGTAAAAGCACAGTGCAAGCCCCCCTGCTCCGTGAATCCTCCCCATAGACTGACTTCCTTCTCCTCCCCTTAATGGACTCTACCCCACTGTGACTACTGGTGGTACTGGACAAGGAACACCTTATTGTGGCATTCTTTCATTTACTGAATGTCTCATGGATGTCTGGCTTATCTCTTGAGCCGGGTTCTAAGCTTCTTATGGAACAAGATCCTGCTCTACACCAAACTCAGATACATACAGTATAGAATATGAATTCAGAATATGTATTTTTAAACTGATGAAACATAAAAAATGGAATGACTTTCCTTTTGGTTTGGATGATTCCTGCTTTAAAATGTTCAATGGCCAATGACTACATTAGGTAACCTTGAGAGGGGCTTTGCAGTTCTCTGAGATTGCATCAGTTATCCATTTCTGTTTTATGAGAGAGAAGCAATGTATGTCAGGGCTGACAAGACGGGCAGCGTGGCTTTCCTCTTTCCACTTGGAAGACTTTGAAAACGTTCCCGAAGTTCTCTAAGTCTTACTATTTTCATCTGTAGTATGTGGTTAATAAACCTACTTCTTAGGGTGCTTGTGAGGATTATAATGAGTGGAAAAGGCATATCATAATGCCAGGCATAAAGTAAGTCCTCAATAAATGGTCATTCTTATTATTATCCCAGCACCTAAATTCTTCCTTGCTATGGAGGTAGACATTCTGGAAGGAACAATGTGCTGAAGATCTTCCACTGGTCTCTCCAGACATCTACTAAAATATACAGCTTCTGTCAGGCTAACTTGTCCACCCAGCTACTGTTATGAGCTGAATTGTGTCCCTCCAAATTCTTGTTTCAATATATGTCTTAACCTCCTGTGTCCCAGACTATGACTGTATTTGGATATAGGGCTTTTAAAAGGTGATTAAAGTAAAAGAGGTCTCGTAGGTGGGTCCTGATGCAGTATGACTGGTGTCCTTATAAGAGGAGACTATAAAGAAAGACCAGAGGAAAGACCAGGGGAAGACAGAGGGAGAAGACGGTCCTCTACAAGACAAGGAAGACATTTCAGAATGAAACCAGCCCTGCTGAAACCTTGATCTTACACTATGAGCCTTCACAACTGAGGAAATAAAGGACAGTTTAAGCTTCCTAGCCTGTGGTACTCTGTGGCAGACCCGGCAAACCAATATAGCGCCCCCTTTAGGTTGTAGGAGTCACTGTTCCCTTGCCTTTTTGGCCTCAGGGTGGTAGACTCTCCTGGCTTTTGCTTGTCCTGGGATAGTGCACTACTCATTCTCTATGGGTTTCCTAAGACTCACCTAGAACTTTGAAAATGATCCATTTATTAAATTACCCATTTAATTAATTCTTATCCATTAAGGGGATCTTGATGTATCGATACAATAACTTAGCTATCCAGGATGAGGCTCTGGGATTTTACCATGGGCTTTAAGGACTTACCTGGTGGCTCAGATGGTAAAGAATCTGCCTGCATTGCAGGAGACCTGGGTTCGATCCCTGGGTTGGGAAGATCCCCCAGAGAAGGAAATGGCAACCCACTCCAGTATTCTTGCCTGAACAATTCCATTCCCAGTGGAGCCTGGTGGGTTGTAGTCTACAGGATCACAAAGAGTCCGACATGACTGAACAACTCACCCTTTCACTTTTCACTTCATAATGATGAGGATTAGAGTTTAGGGACAAATTTAAATTGGGCCTAAGCAGCCCCTCATTGTTAAGGTCACGAAAACCTGTCCTCTTCTCCGGGGGCAATCAGTGTGCTTATGTGGAGAGGACTAAAAGTAAGATCTTTTCTACAATGTTGGCCTTATGTCCTGTAATTTGATTTTATATGAGTTGCCCCAGTGTTTCTTATCCTAGAAATGAGAAATTGAAATGTTGATCTCTATATATTCATATATCTATATAATAATGAAGTTGAGGTGTAGCGTATATATCTGTAAAAATTTTCATATACTTCCATTTGAAAGTAATTACAGACTAAAGAAATATTTGAATAAAACTCCTGTTAAAAATGCTAAATAATCCTTAAAATGGACATTTAGTTACTAAGTATTCTTTCTTTATTCTTCAACATTTGTATTTGTAGATATTTCCCTCAATTTTTCACTACTCTTTAAAATCCACTGTCACTAAATACCCAGAGGAGGCCTCGAGGAAGGAAGAGAAGTGATATCGTGTTTGAGGAAAGCCAGTCCTCCGAGTAGCCTCCTGTGGTATTCTATTTATCCTAAGGAAGACTTACATGGGTGTAAGCTGTGCTGTTCCAAGGCACTGCAGGGCACTTGAAGAGTGTGTGCTTCCTGAAATTTCTTGGCCTCAGATCACAGTGGACTGCAGGGCTGGGGTGTCCACCTTCCTGAGCTAGCCTAGACCAACTGAGAACCCGGCCCTGGGTTGCAGAACCTGGCTCCCTCTTCAGAATTGTTGGTGTTGCAGCAGCCAAGTGTGGCCTGCCCGCTGTGCACAGTGGGGTGGGGGGCCCCAGGCTGCCGGGCCTCCACTGCAAACCCTGCAACCCAGTGCAGAATGAGAGTGCAAATGAGCAGGTGACATGGTGAGCCTCCTGCACCACAAGAAGCCCAACCAAAACGGGCATGATTGGTGAGGAAGGGCAAAGGTGTCAAGTGCAGTGAGACCCTGGCTTTCCTTTAGGCTGGGCACCAGCTGCATACAGGGGGGGGCACTAATACTGTGCTAGCTGTTCAGAGGCACTTGCTGTTGCTTAGTTGCTTCAGTTGTGTCCGACTCTGTGTGACCCTATGGACTGTAGCCCACCAGGCTCCTCTGTCCATGGGATTCTCCAGGCAAGAATACTGGAGTGGGTTGCCATGCCCTCCTCCAGGGGATCTTCCCAACCCAGGGACTGAACCCTGGTCTCCTGCATTGCAGGCAGATTCTTTACTGTCTGAGCTCCTAGGGAAGTCCTCAGAGGCACTTGGGGTCACTCAAAAGGCATGCAGGAAAAACATGCTGGAGAGTTTGGATAGTTTGAATTCTAGAAAACAATTACCTAAATCCATAAGCATTTAGGTCATGAGCACATAAATCAAATAATAGAGTTTAAGCTATCAACAACTTTTTACATGTTTCTCTCTCTCTTTTTTTTTTTTTCTTTATACTCACTTTAATTGTTCAGTCTTCTCTCTGGATAAAATACTTACCGCAGTTTGGAAGCCGTTTACCAACAAAAAGTTCACAAATTTCACCACCTCCATGGCTGTATCCATAGAATAAGTGATAAAGACTTTCCCTAAAGAGAGATTTTTGTCAATTATTAGAAACTAGTCAAATCATTCCACTCTAAACAACACTTGCAAAGCATATGCAGTATCTTTCGGCCTTCTAGAACAATGAAGGGACTCCTCAGAATGAGGGGCGGTCTAAGGGCTTATGGCTGCAGCAGGGTGAATTACTGTCCTCAAGACATAGATCTGCAGGCCCAAAGAGGCAGGGGGTCCATCCCAGAATGTGCAGACTGCCCAGGGTGCATCAGAGAGAGTGCTGGCAGGCTGAGACAAGCAGAGGAGGTCTTCTGAAAAACCACATGACGCATTAACAAAAAAAAATCCATCATCCAGAACCTGCGGGGCCTTAAGATCAGGCCACCCTGGGTATATGAGACGCACTTGGCACTGTGCCCTGGAAGTTGAGCCCTGCTAAGAGGCCACCCAGCCGTGTCCTCTTTTGATCTCATGATGTGATGCTCTCTGCTGCCCTGAACTTGATGAGAGCAAGTGAGGGGAGGGAGAAAGTGGTTCTCCATCACCTCCTTCCCCTCACTACTTATTGGTCGGGGACTGTCCAGGAAGTTGGAGTAGACTAAAGGGCAGCTCAGAAATGTTGTCAAGAACTTCAGTAGCTTGAAGCAGAGACCCTGCCTCTGGGCAGTCAAGCATCACTGACTCCCTTACTCATCCGTGAGTCAGTCTAGAGCAGCAGATGGCATTGCGCCCACAAGCTTAATCCAGTCAGGATGAGAATCAGTGTTCTCCCAGGCTAACATCTTGGGTAAATTATCTGGCTAGCGTGTTAACGTAGTAGATGAATAATTTCTCTCTGTTGGCATTTAGTCTGAAATCAACTGGCTACATCTCAGGAAGCTCTGGGGCAGAGGGTGGAGAAGACAGTGGGGACAGAGTTGGAGAGAACCCACTTACTACGCTTGAAAGTGTTAGCCGCAAAAAAAAAAAAGAAAAGAAAGTGTTAGTCGCTCAGTCGTGTCCAACTCTTTGTGACCCCATGGACTGTAGCACACCAGGCCCCTGTACCCATGGAACTCTCCAGGTAAGAATACTGGAGTGAGTAGCCATTCCCTCCTCCAGGGGACCTAGGCTCTTGTTTTTGAAGCACATCTCTCAAATGAGAGGATGTTCGATGTTATATTGACTCATTTAAGCAGCCAGACATATTGATGGCACTCAATACATTTTCTTCTCAACATATAATATTCAACCAATTCCTCTGTAAGAATTTTAGGACTCCCTTTATAGGTTATGGTAAAATTAATATGCTCTATACACTGATATCCAGACTATATCCCCACATTATCCATTCTCCAGAAATGCTCAAAATTTAAATGTCTAAGATTTCAAGATTAAAACAAAAATTTTTTAATAAAAAACAATTGTCATAGAAATCTTTCAGAGCCTTAAATGACTAAAGAACATTGATTCCCTAGTTGGAATTAACAAATGCAAAGGGCTTAATTTTAAGTTTAGTTCAAAGCAGTGCCTAGATTTGGAAAGCGCTTATTAGAATTACAGCAAGCACAACAGAATATAACAATTTCACAAGTAGTGACTGTTTTCTTAAGATTTCTGGAACTTACTGTCCCGACTGACCTTCATATGAGAACATTTTGGTGATATTTCAACATTTCTGGTTCTGGCTGCAAAATGTGGAAAAAGCATCATCACCTGACACTTAGTCGAATGTTTCTTTAAATAAAAGGCTTAGTTTGCATTTGGTTGTACAGCAGTATGGAGAATGTGAGACTGGTTTTTCCAAACACGATTGCTCATTCCTACAGGAAATGACCTCGTTCTTGAAGGCTGTTGCTAATTTATGGTGAGACACTAGGTCCCTGGCCAATACCACATGGACATCCAATCAATTTATCCAGGGACAAATCCACTCAAGAGAATCATTTAGAAGAGGGAGAAAGCGTGGGGGTTATTTGTTGTTGGAGTACAGTTGTAGAAAATCTAGTGGTAAGCACTTTGGGAGTATTGCAGGTAGTATCAGAATCACTACAAACACTCACACAAAATCCTGGTTAGTTTTAAACAAAAAGCAAAAAAGGACATTTCATTTCACTGTGTAGTATGTGAGAAATATCCAAGATTATAGATGAAGACTCATCAAGTACTCTCAAAGTGTAAGACGTGACCAAGAAGAAGGAAAAAACAACATTGCGAACAACTTACGCAATTCTTCTGGCAAATTGCTTGTTTTCAGAGTTCCTCTGGCTGGAGGGTGACTCGGGGGTCTAGGGACAGCAGCTGGCGATGGAGCCTGGGGATCCTGTGGCCTCAATTCGGCAGGACACTCCAAGGACCCTTCAGGAGCTCCACCTCTATTAGGTGGCGGGTTATACAGCTGGTCCCTGGAAAGGAATACATTCACAGTAAATATTCATGTTGCATAAAGGCAAACCTAGAGGGACAGAAAGCCTTTAATGACTGTGGGTAATACAAGTGAGCTGTCTTTCTTCTGCCTCCATTTCTTTTCTGAGCCAGAAGGACAAAGGTTTGTTTTTTTTTTTCTGCAGAGTTTTTTGTCAATAAGCAGTTCAGCCAGCTGGCATTTGTAAAGGCCTGTGCTTGGGGTCAAAGAGGGAAGCGGGATTTGATTTCTGAATTTAAGGACTGTATAATAGGGAAGATAATTCTTATGGTCAGGTCAGACAAGACCACCAACAAAACGAAGTAATATAATGGGTGACATAGAAGGTTTGATGTTTAGGCATTCAGATAAAAAGACAGAACTTTAAGTTCGTAATAGATAACATTTGGGCTCCCCTGGTGGCTCAGTCGGTAAAGAATCTGCCTGCAATGCAGGAGGTACGGGTTCACTTTCTGGGTCCGGAAGATCCCCTGGAGAAGGGAATGGCTACCCACTCCAATAATCTTGCCTGGAGAATTCCATGGACAGAGGAGCCTGGTGGGCTACAGTCCATGGGGTCGCAAAGTGTCACAACTAACACAACAACAGCAGATAACATTTACTTATGTATTAAAAGATAGAAAAGACCATGTAGGTTTAAAAGTATCTATGTTGTGGGGTCTCTTTGCTGGCCCAGTGATTAAGACTCCTTGCTTCCACTCTAGGGGGCGCAGATTTGATCCCTGGTCCAGGAGCCAAATTGCCGCATGCTGCATGGCACAGCCAAAAAAAAGTATCTATGCTGCTAATATTTCACAAATGAAAATCCAATTTTGAAGACCTACTAAAGACATTTCTACCATATTATCATATGGCGTCTTTATTATTATTTTGGTTACCAGTATTCCTATGAACAGTCTGCCGAGAAGAAGTCAGATGCAATCGTGTGAGATTTGGAAAGTAGAAGGACATGCAGGCCATGCTTCTGCCACTTGTGTGGTTTCTGTTGGTAAGTGCTGTCACAGGGTGCTGAGGAGGCCTCCCAGTGTTCCATTACAGCTTCACAGAGTCAAGGGAAGGCATGGGCATCAATATTTTGCCAGCGCAGATCTTGTAGGCAGGGAATGTTTCCAATAGCTGCAGTGGCAGCGTCCTGATTCTGGATGGTGCTGGCAGCATGGCCTAGAATGGAGAGCCCTGTGGTGGCTTTCTGGCCCTCTGCCTCTCTGACCAGGCCAGAGGAAGCAACACCTCTGGTCCCCTGTTCTGTGATGTTGCCCTGGGACCATTCCTGGAAGCCCAACCTAAAACCTCCAACCTCCAATGTCATAAGCACCCAATTCCTTATATTAAATCCCTTCTGTTTACAACAGCTAGAGTTGTTTCTGTTCTCTGTAACTGAATTCTAAGTGCTAGGGGGAACCAAAACTGTGTCTATAATATTTTATTTCTTCAAAAAAAATATGAAGTAAATGTGGCATTGTTAACATTTAAAAAAATCTAGGTAGCAGGAACAGGAATGTTACTTGTTATGTGTTTGCAATTGTTTTATATTATAAATTTTTTAGAAGTTTTGAATGTAATATCTATGTGTATATGCCTAGTTTTAGTTGGTTATTGCTTACGCTTTCATATTTTTACACAAAAGAGTAATCAAAAAATTCTGAAAGTCCTATGTAACAAGATTTAAAATTATACAAAATCTCAACTATGCTATTAATATATTTCTTATTGTGGTGTTTGAGGAAGTTATTTTTATTTTATATTAATATAGAAAAAAATTTCTACACAATATGCTTTCATCTAATGGTGATCCAATTCCATATTCTTTTTGCATTAAGTGCCTTTGTACCCAAAGTTACTTAGTTGTTTACAAAAGATGATTGCTCATTTGACAAAGCTTCCCAGGTGGCGCTAGTGGTAAAGAACGCGCCTGACAAAGCAGGAGACCTAAGAGACATGGGTTGATTCCTAGGTTGGGAAGAGCATGGTACCATGCTCTTGCTTGGAGAAGGGCATGGTAACCCACTCCAGTATTCTTTCCTGGAGAATCCCATGGACAGAGAAGCCTGGAGGGCTTTAGTCACTAGGGTCACAAAGAGTCAGACACGACTGAAGCGACTTCATGCATACATGCTCATTTGACAAAGAAATCTTAAGGCCTTGATACTATTAAAAAAAAAAACTTTAATATAAAAACAATATCATGGAGAGTAATGACAGAGTAATCTTTCTGTATCAAGGTTCCCCTTCCAAAGATCAGTAAGAAGGGAATTAATCTCATTACCTAAACTTACTTTTCATTATCTTAAAATGATAAATCCTCGAGACCATAGCAGGTATTAATTGATGTTACAAAAGCAATTGCTCTGTACTATTTACAATAAATAAATCCCAAATCATTTCAAAATAAAAGCTTATTTTAAAAATTACTATTGCCTCTCCTATTCAACACTACACATAGAGATGCTTAAATTTTGTTTTCTTGGAATTTTAGATTGCTTTCTACAAGAGTGCCGATCTGACTATAAAATCATTACTTATTTCCATTATTTAAATTCCATGAAATTTTGTTTGTAAAAAAAAAAATAAGGCATCTGTCTGCAAAGGAAATCTGAGGGTTGTTGGCTTTTGAGTGAAGAGGAAAGGCACCTTATTTGCCATTGTAAATAGAGTAGGCTTTTTTTTCAATACACTTTTTGAGCTGATTACCTATTTCTCCATTTCTGAAAAAAAATTGCTTCAATAAGAAGTTCATATCTCATTCCATTCTCAAAATGGAATATAGATTTACTCTGAGTGATAGATAAAAGTTGTGCTTGAGCAAGAGCAAATGTTTTATCTACTCATTTCCAATTTTGTCATAAATTAGGAAGCTCCATTTACATGAGGTTTCCCTGTATACTTTAGATCTATAAATGAAGAGAAAAAAAACGAAACAAAAACAAAAACTTGAGAAGTCAAAAAAGAACAATGAAGAGAAATGTGATTAAAAGATTAGACAATAAAAGTCAAGAAAAGCCAAAATGATTTTACTGGAAGAAGTATTGGAAAGACCTAATAATGGTGTAAAACATGAGTGAATGCTTTTATTACAAAATAAAAGTTGTTTTAAATTTCTATTGAGAACCAATTGAATTTAAAATTTCAAAGTAAGAAATGGACTTAAACAGGTGTAGAGATTAGGGATATAAAAAAGAACTGTAGCCTTGGAAGTCAGTCATAGTGAAAATGAAAACCTATTTCTTGATCCAAAAGGCCAAGAGATCTGGAAGTAAAAGCAGGTGTGACTTAGCATCTTAAGAGCCTTTCCTTCAAGGGCATTTTGAAGAGTCATCGATGGCTTCATGTGTCTGGTGAACAGATCCTTATCACACAGCTTCCGTTTCCTCTTGACCTGAAAAGTCTATGTGGGGTGCTCAACTGTTTGACTTGGTCACCAGCCTGCGTGGCAAAGGAATAGGTTTCTGATACATATTGATTGCACTGGCGTCATTCTTTTTCATATTAGAACTGTCTGAAATTTGGCCCCATCAGTTGTACTTACTGATACCTGGGGAGACCTGTGGGAGAGTAGTTTCTCTGTGGAGCCCTCTCTTCTTGGTCCCAGGGGCTGGGAAAACTCAGGACGACCTTCTGCACGGGGTGCAGGCCTCTCACATGGGCTCCAGGTGGGGCCTGCCCAGGTAGAGCTGGCTGGATCACTTGCTGGTAGGCTGCTCGAGGGTAGTCATGGCCATCTGTAGGTGAAAACAGCAAAGAAAACACGGAAGACTGACTGTGGCTCCTTTGCATGAAAGGAGAGGTAAGCTCAGTGCAAATTTTTGTTTTTATACCAACTGAGGGTTCCGTATATCATTTACCACCTCCGAGATGTTTGCCACATTTCTGTACTATTATTTACTTGATAGTTTTCATTACGCTGAGTCATTGTCTTTATTGTTTTCCTAAACAAGAACATCTGTGAAATCATGAGTTTAATGTTTTAAATTGGAAACACAGAGCTCCACATAGGCCCCTGTTTAAATAAGCTGCTTAAAATAATCCAAACTGAGCTGATTCCAGCCCCACAGCTGATAAAGACCAGGATTTGGAGGGCATCTTTAAGAATGGGGAGGTAGGACCACAGAGAACCCTTTGGTCTAGGATGAGCTATATCACCAGGTTTTGCTGTTATAGCCTTCCTGGGTCAGGTCACATAGATTTCAAGGGGTCCAGATCACCACTATTCCTACCATAATTCCCCAAATTTTAAAACCCAAGGCTAGGAGAAATTATCCTTATGATAGCTACAGAATCACTACTTGCTCATTTCCTTCCCTGGACACCTTCCGCCCAACCCCCCCCACACACACCAGTTCCTCTTTGCTGCTGTTCAGTTGTTAAGTTGTGTCTGACTCTTTGTGACCTCATGGACTGTAGCATGCCAGGCTTCTCTGTCCTCTACTATCTCCCAGAGTTTGTTCAGATTCATGCCCATTGAGTTGGTGATGTTATCTAACCATCTCATTCTCTGCCGCCCCCTTCTCCTTTCTCCTTCAATCTTTCCCAGCATCAGAGCCTTATCCAATGAGTCAGCTCTTCGCATCAGGTGGCCAAAGTATTGAAACTTCAACTTCATTATCAGTGCTTCCAATGAATATTCAGGATTGATTTCCTTTAGGATTGACTGGTTTGATCTCCTTGCTGGCCAGTTCAGTTCAGTTCAGTTGCTCAGTCATGTCCGACTCTTTTGATCCCATGAACTGCAGCACGCCAGGCCTCCCTGCCAATCACCAACTCCCAAAGTTTACCCAAACTCATGTCCATTGAGTTGGTGATGCCATCTAACCATCTCATCCTCTGTCGTCCCCTTCTCCTCCTGCCTTCTATCTTTCCCAACATCAGGGTCTTTTCAAATGAATCAGCTCTTCGCATCAGGTGGCCAAAGTATTGGAGTTTCAGCTTCAACAACATTCCTGTCAATGAATACCCAGGACTGATTTCCCTTAGGATGGACTGGTTTGATCTCCTTGTAGTCCAAGGGACTCTCAAGAGTCTTCTCCAACACCATAGTTCAAAAGCATCAATTCTTCTGTGCTCAGCCCTCTTTATAGTCCAACTCTCACATCCATACATGACTACTGGAAAAACCATAGCCTTGACTAGACAGACCTTTGTTAGCAAAGTAATGTCTCTGCTTTTTAATATGCTATCTAGGTTGGTCATAACTTTCCTTCCAAGGAGTAAAGCACCTTTTAATTTCATGGCTGCAATCACCATCTGCAGTGATTTTGGAGCCCCCCAAAATAAAGTCAGCCACTGTTTCCCCACTTATTTCCCATGAAGTGATGGGACTGGATGCCATGATCTTAGCTTTCTGAAAGTTGAGCTTTAAGCCAACTTTTTCACTCTCCTCTTTCACTTTCATCAAGAGGTTCTTTATTTCTTCACTTTCTGCCATAAGGGTGGTGTCATCTGCATATCTGAGGTTTTTTATATTCCTCCCAGCAATCTTGATTCCAGCTTGTGCTTCACCCAGCCCAGCATTTCTCATGATGTACTCTGCATATAAGGGACCCTCAAGAGTCTCCTCCTTCACCACAGATTGAAAGCATCAATTCTTCAGCAGTCAGCCTTCTTTGTGGTCCAACTCTCACATTGGTATAGGACTTCTGGAAAAACCATAGCTTTGACTAGATGGACCTTGGTTAGCAAAGTGATGTCTCTGCTTTTTAATGTGCTGTCTAGGTTTGTCATAACTTTCCTTCCAAGGAGCAGTGTCTTTTAAATTCATGACTATAGTGACCAACTGCAATGATTTTGGAGCCCAAGGGAAAAAAAATATGTCACTGCTTCCACTTTTTCCCCTTCTATTTGCCACAAAGTTATGGGGATGGATGCCATGATCCTTGTTTTTTGAATGTTGAGTTTCAAGTCAGCTTTTTCAGCCCCTCTTAGGAAGAAGTAAATGAATGAAAACTTGGCTCATATCCCTGGGAAGTAGCCACGCAGTTGGCAACACCTCACAACCGTCTCAGCCCTCTCTTGCTAAAGGCCATGTGCACTTGGGGCCAGGCGGTTAGAAGAGGGCAGGTATTAGAGCAAAGCCAGTCCTCACATTAACTTATATGAATTTCTTACCTGGGAGAAAGTTAGCCCCAGCCAGGCCCAGGAGTTACAGAGTCCCAAAGGATTAAAGGCAACCAGCCTGACCCGGTGAGAGAAGAGAAGTGAGGGCCAGAGGAGGGATGCAAGGAACCCAGGAAGGGTGGGAGAGGAAGGTTCTGAGGGAACTGTCCAGATCCAACGGGGCTTGAGTGTGGGAAGTCTGAGAGGCTGGGATGCACGTTGGGGTGAGCTCAGCCTGTAGAAGGACTGGAGAGAGGCACGTAAAACCCCGCAAAAAGAGCCATGTGGATCGCCCCCAGAGCATGTCCCAGGAATCCAAGCATTGCCACCTCTGCCCAAGTAAGAACTTGGATGATCAAGCAGGCATAGCTAGTTAGGGCAAGAAGGAACCGTGATCTTCAAAAGATCTTTACTGGTCTTTATTCTTCTTCTGATTATAAAAGTAGTAACCAATTTGCCTGTTGTGTAGTAGAATACTTGCAGGGAAGGAGGGTGAAACAAAACTTGCAAGCGAGCAAGAAATAACAGAAAAAGCAAGTTGGCAGCACCAGGATGTGGAGGGTGAGAATGTGGTTAAGATTTTTATTCTTGGTTTGCTAAGTAGTCAAGAACCATCTAGAGGAATATGGCCTCAAGTACAGAAGACTAATAATGTGTATGTTCATTAGTGTGGCCAATAGCAGGTCCCCACTATGTGCGCTCAGGAAACTTGACTGGGTGACCCTGCAAATGTGCCCCAGCCAGTCTTTCAAGCTTGGTCAGATTCCCTGGATTCGGTTTATTGTCTGCTTTGACCCATGACACCAGGTCATGCTTCCTCTGGCAAAACTGACCACATCCCTCTGAACACGGCTTGTCTTGTGACCCTGACCGTGACCCTTGCCCTGCTGTTGGTTAGGCCTGGTCATGATATCTGGGACTTAAGGAAGGGGAAGGGGCTAAAAGGATCTGCCTGGGCCTACCCCTGGCTGACAAAGACCAGGGCTTGGATGGCATCCCTAAGAATGGGGAGACAGGACCACAGAGACCCCCTATGATCTAGAACAAGATAAAACAAGGTTTTGTTCTTATGGCCATCCTGGGTCAGGTCAGATAAGTTCCAAGGGGTCCAGCTCACCAGCTGGAGTTTCGGGACTATAGGACTGGTCTCTCCTGCTGCTCTTTTCCTCAGTTGTTGTTGTTCAGTCTCTAAGTCTTGTCTGACTCTTTGAGACCCCGTGGACTATAGCCCTCCAGGCTCCTCTGTCCACAGGACTCCCCAGACAAGAATACTGCAGTGGGTTGCCGCCATTCTCTTCTCCAGGGGATCTTCCTGACCCAGGGATTGAACCCATGTCTCCTGCATTGGCAGGCAGATTCTTTACCACGAAGGGCCCTTCCCCAGTTAGAACAGGGCAAAAAGTGCCATTGCCATCAGGTCATTAGGCAAAGGCTAGCCATGTTTTTAGGTGAGTCTTGTATGGATAGACCCTTTACAAAGCTAGCAATAGATAGAGCCCTCCAGAGATTTCCTATTGCATTTAAAATCCACCTTGCATGAATGGGGTCCCTGTTGTTCTTGATTTTATCTCCTACTACACTCTCAAAAGTTCAGCAAGCCCCAGCTACCCTGGCTGTCTTTGTTCATCTTGAACGCCAAGCTAGTCCCCACCTCTGGGAGCCTGAGTCTGCCATCCCCTCTGCTCAGGATGTTTTGTCCTGTAGCTTTACAGATCAGCTTCTCGACATTCAGGGCTCAGCTCAGATATCATCTGTTCAGCAGTTACTTACCCCATCTCACCACTGTAGTTTCTCCCGAGCACTTTTCATGTTTGTGTGAGTAAGCATGACTCCTGCTTGTCAACTTCTTGCCTGCCTTGCCTACTTACTTGACTAAGCTTTGCAAAAGCATGCACTGTGTCTATTTGCCACCACATCTCAAAGCACAGTGCCAATACCTGGGGGATGTTTAATCTATGAATGAAGACTGAAGAGTTACAAAGTCAACTTCATATATACGCACAAGCAAAGCCATGTAGGATGGCACAATCTGCCTGCTAGGTCTTGGGTCTTCTAGGCAATCTATTTCTCATCTGCTATCCATCTGGGGTATTTTTCAGTGTCTCCTTTGGAGGCAGGAAGAAGAAAGGAAAGGTAAGAGAGGAGCAACTTTGCTAGTGGCCTTGAAAGTTTTTAATGCTTGGAGCCATTCTTGCTTCCCATATCTATTAATAAATGGCTAATAAGGTTTTATTTGCTTTAAAAGGACTACCAAGCTCTAATCATAGGGTTTGTTTCTTTTCCAGAAAGTGTATGTTAGTGCTGTTAATCAAAAGCCTTTGAAGCAAGGTCATATGATTTCGAACAGATTATTTCTCGCACAACATGTTTTTGTCTCATAGCAACAAGTCATATCATTAAAATCACCAAGGCATGAGGACTAAGTGTTTGATTAGCTGTAACTCTTGTTTCTGAAATGGCCACCTGTGATAAAAACTTACAATGGTTTATGTAAGCAGATGAAAATCATCCACCTCAATTTTAAAATTAGGGTACTGACAAAATAGTTCTCTGTGCTATCTTTTGATTGTTTAAAACAAAGGAATATTGACTATCAGAGGGTCAATCAAAAATAAGATTTCCTTTTTAA